CACACACACACACACACACACGCACCTTGATTAGTCGGTGAAGTCCGACGAAGCAGACTGTACGGTGACCCGTCTTCTCTGGAGTTTTGCATAGCGAAAACACTCACACACACACACACACACACACACACACACACACACACACACACACACACACACACACACAGAAGCACAAGCGCTACGGGAGAGGATGTTGTGTGATCAAATGACGCAACGTGACACGACCTTTTGGAGGACCTGATCAGGCGGAGACGATTTAAAAGTAGACTTGGACATACAGATGCGAAGGAGAAGACGACGTGCGTAGACGGCGATCGCCGTCGATTGCCGTTGTAAACCCCGTACTTTGTAAGCCCCGTACTCAGAGTGGGGGAGATTGACCAACTTGAGGAGGATGCGCTAATATTACACTACAGACTCTTATCGAATCTGTTCAGTCAAATCCAATCTTCCATAGCTGGAGCTGATCATATCGTACGACACTTTGGGTAGCTGGATCCGGAACGGAAAACCATTTTCAACCGAATTATAGCTAGCCAGTCTTCGAGAATCTGGTCGAGCAGCAGTAACGTACTAACGTGTATGGTCCCGTATGATCCAGAAGCCGTGAGAAGAGATTGATGACCTTGCCCAGCAAAGGCGCAGCTGTCACTGCGACAGGAGACTGCTAGAATGGGAGCTCCAACGAATTCCGAACTTTGAGATCGGTAAGTTTGTCGCAATCTTTCTCCTCCCTGGCCTCCCTCCCTCCCTCTCATTTTGTGTGACACTGTGTGTGTGTGTGTGTGTGTATAGGACAGTGGCAATTGGTTTAGTTGTGGGATGTGTCCTTTGCTTTGTTTGACTGATAGGCCTTCCTCTTCCCTTGTCCTTTCTTTGACTGGATCCCTTTCTCTTTCTCTTGCCTCTGTGAGGTTTGGTTTCCTCCTCATTTTCTTTACCTCTTGTTTGCCTTTTGGCTGCGTGCAAGTGGGTCCTTGTGACACACGGGGATGGGAGCAGCCAGCGCTCAACCTGTCATCCACGTGGC